GCTGTAAACCAGTCACACGGAAACAAACCCTCTAAAAGTTATCGGGGTAATGTTCTTGGTAAACCAGGGCATTTGTCAACTGACTGCATTTTTTAATTTATGAATAGCCAGAAAAAAAAGACGAAGAAAATAGTTCACGCCTTAATTTTACACTTTTACCATGTGACGATTATCAACCACGTGTACGGTCCTGGCAGCAACAATGATAATTCATACAAGTATCCCGGCATTCAACGCGCTCCATGACTTGATGTCCCCGAGTGGCTCAACGGCGAGTCTGAGGCCCATTGTATAGCTTTGTGTTTAATAACAAACAAACAAATCATAATTTAAAACAGGATCGTCCCATTTTCTGTCACATGGTTTTAGAGTATGGTCGCATGAGCTGGGCACTTTAGTTAAAGATACGAAAAAATGTATCCGTTCAAGTTTATAGTTCGTAATACAGTAATGGGCAAAATAGTATAACTCAACTACACCAGAGTCAAAGCTCTAAAATAAGCACTAATGTTTAGTTTAGTTTAAATGTTTGGCTGGTGGTTGACGAGCTGTCAGTGTGCTTTTATTTGTTTCAGAATTTTCAATTGATAGAATAGAGCACCCACCGCCGATATTTGGGCTACTCTTGTCTGACCGAACAGTGGGATTTGACCGTATACGAGTAACACAAATGGTATTTCGGTATGTTAAGTATATACAGTAATTTGAAAACAGACAAACATACGGACAAACTAAAACGTATGATACAATGTGTGAATTCCCAAGACAAATAAATTTTTTTTTACTTTTTTACGTCTTTTTTCCTCAATCTTAAACCCGCGTTTACATTAGGGTGCATAAGCTCACTGAATTACCTTCTGTTACTTTTATTACTCATAAAAGTAGTTCTTCCACCCCGGGGAGTCGCATTTAGTGCAAATGTTGTCATTTCATATCTTTATTTTATGTTTAATGTAAACATCGTTTGAGTAGGTTAGATGATTGTTATCTAAATGTTGTCTTATTTATTTCTCCAGATTGGGCGATCTGTTTAACATAATAGGACAATAATCGGATAAAACTCGATAAATAACTTACGTCATGTTCATGAAGCAGAACAGCGCCACCTTCCCCGAGAGTGGTAAGAAAGCGCAACCTTCTGTGTAAGAAGTCAAACAAATTCGAATTTGAAGTGAAGTGAAACACCGAATCTTTTGATTTATTTAGATTAGATGGCTAATTAGCATAATTATATATATATATGTGTGTGTGTATAATGAAATGTCTTAATGATTTCATCATTAAATTAACTAATGCCTGACCTAACGAGAGGTTACAATTTTAGACAACGTTTTCGTGTATCAGCATATCAGCATGACTAACTTGTCGGACGTCATGAGCTTAATGAATCTATTAAAAATAAAATATAGGCTACAGATATAACGATAAACATGTCGGATTTCCTAACAAACAAAGGTTAAAATATTGTTCAATGTCCTCTGGATATTATTTCATTTGAAAACAATATTTAGCGTGAAATAACTCGGTTAAAGCAGAGAACAACTACTAGGGCGGCGACAATTTTGAAATCTATTGATCGTTTAGATAAAATATAATCGGATAATTGTCGACCATTTTGAATCCAAAGTAGGAAACATGACTTAAGGTACAGAAATAGTTAAAATTAAGAGTTAGAGACAAGATAGTGGACATATTCTACTCTTTTTCTAGAAACAATACGTCTCAATGTTGTTGTTTTTTATTCAGTGGGTCAGTTTATGTTGTGTTACGTGAATAACTATTAAAAATGCAGCCCCCCAGTGGCACAGCGGTATGTCTGCGGACTTACAACGCTAGAATCCGGGTTTCGATACTTGTGGTGGGCAGAGCACAGATAGCCCATTATGTAGCTTTGTGCTTAATTACAAACAAACAAACCAAAGTAAATTGCCCCCCAGTGGCACAGCGGTGTGTCTGAGAACTTACAACGCTAGAATCCGGGTTTCGATACCCGTGGTGGACAGAGCACAGATAGCCCATTGTGTAGCTTTGTGCTTAATTACAAACAACAACAACATTAAAAATGCAACCTAGCGTATAAGACACACCTATCGCAACTCACGTGACACGTGAAAATTACCGTAACTGAAATAATTGAATCATTTAAAGGTTTATTTGTGTGTTGAGGGATAAACTTTCCGATTCAAATAAAATTATTATTTCTATTTCTGTATGGAAAGAATTACTAATTTTATGATTTTGAACTCGGTTTCTGCTCGCCCTTTCAGCCGTGGGGGAATTATAAAGTCACGCTCAATCCCATTATTCGTTGGTAAAAGAGTAGCCCAAGAGTTAGATGCCTTCCTTCTAGTCTATCGCTGCTAAATTAGGGATGGCTAGCGGAGATAGCTATTCCGTGTGCGAAATTTAAATCAAATCAAATCGACTATTCGAGTAATCGTCACAGCCTTATAAATTATTATCTTTTTTATCGCTATCTTAGTAAATACTAATCTTCATGTAGTCTTAGCTTCATAGGCTAATATAACCTACTTTCAGTTTTGTTTTTTTTCTTCAAGACAAAGCGAGAACATTTCTAAGAAGACAGCTTTAATATGAAACTCGGTAGACTACCGAGCACTTGAGAGAAGAAGGCTTGGCAACAGACCTAGCAGAAAAGAACCGTCGAAAATGGTTCTTTGTTTTTAGTTACTCTTAAGAAGTCCATATCTCCAGGGCGTGTTGATTTTAAACTGTTTCGTTTTTTTATTGCTTGTATTCTAGACATTGCTTTAAAGCGCGATTATATAAATACTTAACAGCCGAGAAGTGTTGGTATTAATTTTACTTTGAGTTTCGTTTGTTTACTGCACGTAATCCAGTTTTTAAAGTTTTGTTTATGTGAACTTTTAGTTCAGTTTCCCCAAAGTAACACTGAAGTCAAAACCAGGTTTTCAATTGTTCACATTGAGTAAAGAGAAACAATAAGTTATTCCACGTTCACTATTCTCAATGGCGGGCCGGCTTCCATTCTGTCTGTTTGTTTGTTTTAGAGCAAAGCTACATTGGGCTATCTGCTGTGTTCACCGCGGGGAGTTGAACCCCGAATTTTAGCGTTATAATTCCGGAAACTTATCGCTGACCTTTTCAGTCAGCAAGTACAATTATATTTCTTTTCTTAAAGCGGAACTAAACTTAAATTTTATATGGGGGGGGGGGCAACTAAAAAATAAAGAAACTGCGGGAATGAGCACGTGATTTTGCAAACATCCAAATGTATACTTTCAAACATTTGCTATATATCATATATTGATTTGTACTGTCAATCATGTATTGGTGACATAAATACATTAATTTTGAGGTTGTCGACATACACACACACGCCCCATCTACATCCAGCTACAAAAACTTTTAAAACATAAGTTTGGTACCGATATCTATCAATCATTCTATCTGTGCTGACACCTGGGGGCAAGACAATCATTACTTTCGATCAGATGTCCAGTGTAATCTACGATCTGTTTTATTAACATAATTGGATTTTGTAGGCCATGTCTAAAAGGGGTCTATTTAGCCTATTTTTTTAATACACAATTAGACTTTGAAAGTAATTATTTGCATACAATTTCAAGTATCTAAAATATATTTATCGGAAACCCATATACTATTTTATATTTTAAATTTAGTTGGCATGGAGTGAGGTTAGGTGGCGTTTCTCAGTATTTTTTTTGTTTTTTTTGCCTTTCTCAGCCAGTCAGTTAACCGAACGAAATAAGGTTTTGTTGGAGTTAAAGGTGTAGTTATTACTAGTATAACTCAACCTCAGGTGATGTCGAAGAAACTTTGTTACGATTATACAACTTAAACCAATCATTATTAGAATACCAATCAACATCAGAAAACATAACTCCATAACTAAAATATGTACAAAAAAATGATCTCTTTCCCCCATTTTTTTTTGCGAGAGGGGGGGGGGGTATGAAAGAATAGAAAAATAAAAATATTAATTATGGTAACCATGGTAACACCAGAAAAGTTACGGTGAACGCGTTGAGATACGTCTGTTAGAAAATATATAAACCTTTTATTAACACATTTAATTTTTAGTAAATATTTTGTTTGCTTCTCCAACTTCTATTAATATTCTAGTTGTCTATTTTGTTTTTATCAATCTGCTATTATTCGGTTCTTTATTTAGTTTCATCTCCATTAGTAAGGCAATAAAATTAACATGGTGTGATATTAATATCTAATAATGAAACTATTCATAATAATATCTCATTACTTTACCTACACGATCGTTTAAAATACCTATTACTAGTATGCCTACTCGGCATTTAAAAATTTGTAAAACCGATCGTTAAAAGTACCGTAATTTCAAATCCAATTAAATGGTCAGACAAGAGTGACCCAAGAATTAGCGGTGGGTGCTATTGACCCTCAAATCTATCAGTTCAAAATTATGTATAGCTAGCCAGCCCTTGTGTAGCTTTGCGCGGATATCCAAAACAAACTAATGGTTTAAATTAGTGTTTAACAGGCACTTTAACATTATATTTAGGCCCTACCCTAACGGTCATGCACGTTCTTTCCCATTGGTACTCAGAAACGTTAAAAGTAATTCGAGTAATTTTTTCCGTTGCTAGTAACTCAATACATATTGAGCATATTTGTACAATCATTTCACAAATGCCAGTTTCAAGTTCATCTCATGATAAATTCGTATTAACTCGAATGTTTTTCTACGGCTATTTTTCCTCAACAAATTTCATTTTATAAGAAAAAAAATGAGTGTTAACAAACGACAATATATTAATAGGCACAATATTTTTCATTTTGTATAAGTCACCGAATCCGTCACGTCACATCACTGGTTTTGAAGTGACCTTTTACTGATTCACATAACTAATGAGCTCGAGTTATGGCGTGAACCCTGATCTCTCAGACTCAGCTGCTACTGCAGGCTAAACCAGGGAGTGGCACGAGTGTAAGCTTCCTATTCTACACCCTACACGTTGCTTATAGCAACGTAGCTGTTATCAGGCAGCGTATAGAAAAACAAGTGTTCGTTCACTTATACATCGACTAGACGATTAAAAATTAAAATATAAGAATAAATATATTAGTGTGTTTATAAATAAATGATTCGTTTTCTAAGAATGAACTATCATACCAGTAGTTTCTCCAAACTTTGACAAGCCCATAATACTAATGACGTTTACACTGATGCAGCCAATCGGATTTGTCCTTGCTTCAAGCAGGTGGTTGTACTTTCTTAACTGCGTGATTCGTCTTTAATCCAATTGTTATTTCCGAAGGAAATAATAACGTGTGCGGTGCAATACTTAATGTGATTAGGTGACATTTCAAAGTGTCCCGCAAGTAAAGCGGGCACGTGTTCTACTGTTAAGGTAAATACTAATGTCACGATAAATGCTTTCACAATGGAAAAAGAAGTGAAAGGCTTAGTGAAGCAGCAACTTGACTATTCGAAAATGACAGACCCGCAGGAACTAAGAGAACTTGTAAGTTTTATTTTTTATTTTAATATAATGATACACGATACATAAGATTAGAAAATAAACATATATTATTAATTTATAACTTGAAAATAATCTCATCAGAATCCCAATAAATATCTACTCGTTATCAAATTTACGAAACTAAAGGTGTGAAATGTTCAAATTTCATTATTTGAATTTGACAGACCAGAAGTTGTAAAAAACAAACAAACTTGTTTCATATTTTTATTGTTAATTGTTATTGGGTTCGTAAAGTGCCATATTTAACAATTTGTTTGTTTATATAGTTATTATATAATATTTTGATCTTGAAACGTGTGTTTTCATATAGTATTGTAATAAAAATTAAAATGAATGGGACTGAGAGAAATGCGGAAATACACTGGATAGGAATAACGTAATAACTCGCAAAGCGTCCATCTGAAATTATATACTAGTACTAGGACTAATTAAAATCGTTGCACGAGTTTCGAACTTATTCACCAGTTTAGACGATAGATGGTAGGTTTACTTTACCATAATTTATATATTGGTACATTTAACCGATGGAATACTAAACGTTATTGCAGAATAAACTCCTTTTAAACATCACAAAAATAAATATTATATGTATAATGATACAAACGTGTTTTACCAAATTTGTTAAATGGTAATCGAGACTTTGATTTTTAACTTTAAGATTACCGTGGTTGTGTGACTCGGTTGAAACTCTAAAAGCTGAGATTCACTACTTGTTTGAAACTACCAAAACTAGCTTCGTGGTTTTCATTCGATTGATTATATATAGGCTAATAGTTGGTATAATTTCTGACGAATCGAAAAATTACCTCACATTTTCTCTAAACGTTCGTGTGTAGATAAGGAGACATTGACGCACACTGATAAACCGAATCAAAATATTTCTAGGTATTAATATTTCTACAATTTAAACAAACGTTATAATAAAATCCCGGAAGTAATGCTCGTAATAATAAGCCAGTGCTACGCGTAGTACTAGTAAAGTTGAGGCAGGCTCTAACGTTGGACTCTACTGAATATTTTGATGTTTGGGGAAGGACATTGATTTAAAATTGTTTTATGATGAATATCTAACAATTAAGGGAACAATTTTGCGTTACGTATCACCTTTTTATACTCAACAGATGGCGTAACGATTCATTGGAAGGACACATTTCTCAAAGCTCGTTGTTTTTTTACGTGTTAATAATTAGTGACTATCTTTAACTTTTTGGTTCGATCTTAGAAAAAATATATCGACCTAAGTTGGGTAAAGGTCAGTTTTAGTAAACTGTGCATAAGAAGATCGTAATGACATGGTGTTCTTTACTAGCTTTCCCCGAAAAACTTCATTATGTGTTATGTTAGTACAGCTGGAGGAAGACATGATTGTTTTTTTAACTGAGAAAATATACAACTTTTATTTGACTTTATTTTTTTGTATCTTTGCCTGTTAACCATTACCGTTGTGTGTGTGTGTGTGTGTGTAAGTAAAAAAAAAAAAACGTGTTCTTAGACCATGTTTTTTATGCAAATATTCTAATTTTCACCACAGGAGGTGCACAATAAGAAAAAAAAAACAATAAAATTCATTTTGCGATCATTGTGCTAACTTTTTTTAGGGTTGTAAGAATTTCTTCAAATGTAAGTTTTCAACGTATTTTTGATTTTTTTCTATCTCGCTTTGTTCGATCTATAACAGTATGCTGTTCCGTGAAACCAGAGCTTAGATCTAAACATAACAACGTTTTTTAGGTACGGTGAATCCTCATATGATTTTGGAAATAGCAAATTTTTCATGGGTTGGTTTTTAATTTCAAACCTAAAATCATTATTTACGGATTTTGATCGCAGACTTTTGTCAAATTAGGCCTACAAACATAAGAGAGAGGTGTTTCGTCGTCTGTCTTCGTTGTACAGGACTTAATCATTTAACCAAAAGTGATTGGTCAGATTGTTTTATTTAGTTACGGATAAGCAGGGCCGTAGGAAGCGGTAAGGCCTGACCACAGTTTCATGGCACGTATAACTACAATTTGTGTATTAAAACTTGCTTATTTTAATTCAATACATTACGTCGTGTGTATGCAGTATTTGTAGTTAAAATGGCGCAAGATTCAATTTCGTAGAATTAAATTTTAAACAACTTTCTAGGAGGGGGGGTATATGCCCCCAGATCCTCTAGAAATGGCAATGACCTGAACACTCCAAAATTGATATGGATTTCAGAGTGCACGTATTTTAATCATGAACACGTATTTTAATCATTAGAACATAAAATGTTGACAGGCAACCGTTTTGAATACCGAAATCACCATTTATGGAAGATATAAAGCATAGAGGCATTATTACCTCCGCCATCGAAGATGATGGCGGTTATGTTTTCACCCCTGTGTGTGTGTGTGTGAGTTTGTCAGCAATATTTCTCTAAAACGTCTAAATGGATTTGGACGAAACTTGGTATACATTTGGACTATGAATCAACTTAGAAGTGATTAGTTTTTTGGAGGGTCAAAGGTCAAGGTTACAGCAAGGGTAACAAAAAACCCAAAATATCCATATCTGTTAACATGGGGACCGATTTTTCACACTATTTTTGTTCTATAAATCAGTCAAAAATGATCGGATTTTGGTGAAACTTGATGGTTATATGTAGAATATAATTCCTTATTTTCCTGCCAAAAATAGTCCGTATTCGTTGATAACGACGGACATGCGGACATACTTTCGTATTTTTTGAGAGCCGAATATGATCAACGCTGAGTGGCGGAGGTATGCACTCTACTGAGTGCCCCCCTCTTAAAAAATTATTTTATTACTTGTTCCAGTAAAGATATTTTTAACGTTGAAAGTGTGTACCTTATCCTTTGTGCTTCCAAACATATTTTTATTTTCACGTTATAAATATTGGTCTGTTTCATTCCCCGTAAGACAGCATTTCTAATGCTTTTACTATGATTTAGCCTTATTTACCAAGTTTATTCGAATCTACAAACCTACGTAAATCCCCCGGCCAGTCGTATTAACATTAATGGGTTTCTTCTAATATTATTTTATCTTCTTCGTATTGTTGTGACGTCATTCTTTCGTTGGCGTATTTTAAAAAATTATCTGGAGAAAATAGTTCAACATAAAGAGAGCACGCACTTTATTTTCTCCTTGAATGTTTCTACGAGCTTGAACACTTGTTCACTGCCGTAAATTGCTGTAGGCCTACGTTACAAATGACGTTCAAACGCGTGATAGTAAACAGAGATCCAAACACCTCACGACAACACACTGACTCAACTTTCTATCTTGTAATAATGCATTGTATCTCTTCTTTAACAACTCTAAACATTGTTCTAGCCCCCCAGTAGCACAGCGGTATGTCTGCAGACTTACAACGCTAGAATCCGGGTTTCGATACCCGTGGCGGGCAGAGCACAGATAGCCCATTGTGTAGCTTTGTGCTTAATTAGAAACAAAAAACAAACATTGTACTAGAGATTTCGCCAGGTCTCTGGATTATTACATCATCAACGACCCCAGCGCCCTCTAACTGATAAATTATAACATTAAAAATATAGCTTACAGCAATATGTTAGTGATATGTAAAATCAATTATTAACATTATAAACTTTAGAATACTTAAGACTTTATTGGTTTAAGTTGTCATTGAAGTCATCCCCCCCATCCCCTCCTCCTACAATGTTAAAATGTTTCACTCGTTTCTTATCTGATTAATCACCCTTAGCAAAAACGTGTTAAAATGTTATTGACTTATATTAATTTTAAGTTTTTACTAGGTAAATTTTGTAAATAAGCTAGAGAAACTCGGTTTTCATTTTGACATTCCATACTCAAAACCACTAACATTTTGATATACGGAAATCCAAGTTTTTGACCTGCACAAGTTGAATGTACAATAGTATTTCTAAGATACTGAGTCATGAAGAGCCTATTAAAATGTCTAAATATTTACGATTGGAGCTTCGTTGTGCAACATTTGCTTAAGTTAGCCTGGCATGGCTGGTGGTTAGGGCACTGGACTCGCAATCTGAAGGTCGTGGGTTCGAAGCCCGTCATCGTCATGTCCTTTCAGTCGTGGAGGCGTCATATTATAATGTGACCGTCAATCCCACTATTAGTTGGTAAAGAGAACCAAAGAGTTGATGCTGACTAACTGCTTTCCCCTCTAGTTTATCACTTCAAAATTAGGGACAGCTAGCGCAGATAACCCTTGAGTAGCTTTGCGCGAAATTCAACAAACAAAATAAGCTTGCTTTAGTTGAAATTCAATACCAATTTCTTTTTCTATAACGTTAACAGGTGGCGTTTACTAGTTTAAGGGACTAATTATCAGTGCGTAAGAATAACAACACGTTACTTAATTTTAGCTCCTTCCAATGAAAGTATTTTAACCATTATTTTTGTAGAGGAATTTTATCGGTGATACAGATGTTTGCTACTTACCCTCCTCTCATTACATTTACATATATAGATTATCCATTCTCAACGAGCCGTGAACAATGCTACTTTTATGGTAAGTAAACGACTTTGGAAGAAATGTCGTGACGCACCGTAACAGAATCAACTCCCGTTCTGGATAAATGTTCTTATTGTTAGAAGACTATTTGACTCAAAGATAAATATAAAAAAAAATCTAATGACCGCTACTCGATGGTCCTTTTATGGCAACTCAGCACACTGCTCGAGAGAGCGAGATGCAGTCTCACTTCAATCGCATCCGAGCGAGATAAGCCTCTGGTGCACCATAAGTTACTAAAGTGGGCGGTTAATTAAATTCCTGAGAGAAAGACGAGGGTTTCCCATGTGTATCAATAGGTTTGGCTGTCTAACAAGATGACGTCACTTTTGGAAGTTCCTGTTGATTGACATAGAATGAAAAGAGAAAAAACGAGACGTTTTTTTTTATCTATTTTTATTCGTGAAGCAAGTTGAACAATTTTTCGAGACATAAGCGCTGTTCAAAATTTGATAAAATTGTGCAAATATAAAAATTA